TTTTCGATGGGGGGTTTTTCTTGGTGGACCCCCCTAGGGGGCCCCAAGGGGGGGCAACTTTCAAAATTCAAATAGCAACCCCCATTTTTTTAGACATGGTTAAAAAGAACTTAAAAAGACAAGAAAAATGACGCAAATAAAATTAAAATCGGTTCACTCGTTCAAAAGTTACAGCCGGTCAAAATTTTAAATTGACCACTTTTCAAAAAATCACCGTTGAGCTCCCAATTACCGAAAAAATAAAAACAGACCTGGAATGAAAAGTTTGAAAAGTGCCCTTTAAGGCAAGGAAAACCAACTGACGTTGTCACAAGTTTGGATGGCATTGTTTCAAAATAAAATTTCGGAAAATTCAACATGGCGGCAAATTTGAGGAAACGCGAATAATGAAAATTCCAGAAACTGTTATCTTTCAAATACCCTCTAGTTTAAGGAAATCAATGGTATCAACTTTTTTTCCTTTATTTGGCCAAGTAAGAGCAATAATTTGCTGACTTGAAAGTTGGCAAGCGGGACCCCTTCAATCGTTGGAGTATGCGACATCACTTGCACAGGATTAAGTGTGCTGTCAAAAAATGAAGCCGATGTGAAAAAGCGCTCCTCCTTTGGGATGCTTTAGTAATGTTCAAGGTCCTCATCCTCAAAAAAGAAGAAAAGAAAAATTGAGCAATTGTTTTATTATTATTATTATTATTATTTTTTGAAGTGGAAGTTCTTATACCTGATGCTCTGTTATTCCGTCAAATGTTCAATGTGATCTTCATTTTGCTGCAAACAATAGTAAATTTACAATAGTAATTGCCAACTAAATCAGAACGCAGTATGATCAAGAGAACTTAGCAGACTGATTTCAGATTCGTAAATAGTGTTACCGATCAGATGTTGCATCAGATATTACCTAAAATATCGGTTCCTCAAATCGTGAGGTTGAGGCTGTCAATAAGATAATCTCAACTCAGATAATAATCAAGAGTAGAACGGCGTTTTCGGAATTGAAAGCGTAGCAGATATCCTTCTTGCCAACTTGGAGTGCCAGGAATTAGAGAATCACAATTATTCTCGCGTTTTCAATTTTCAGATAGAGAAATGTCAAAAATGTCAACCGCCCCTACCCCATCAGGATATACCATGTTTTTTTTTGGCTCACCAAGTTTGTGGGTAAAAATTGCTTAATTTCTCTTTTCTTCTTTTTTGAGGATGAGGACCTTGAACATTACTAAGGCATCCCAAAGGAGGAGCGCTTTTTCACATCGGCTTCATTTTTTGACAGCACACTAAATCCTGTGCAAGTGATGTCGCATACTCCAACGATTGAAGGGGTCCCGCTTGCCAACTTTCAAGTCAGCAAATTATTGCTCTTACTTGGCCAAATAAAGGAAAAAAAGTTGATACCATTGATTTCCTTAAACTAGAGGGTATTTGAAAGATAACAGTTTCTGGAATTTTCATTATTCGCGTTTCCTCAAATTTGCCGCCATGTTGAATTTTCCGAAATTTTATTTTGAAACAATGCCATCCAAACTTGTGACAACGTCAGTTGGTTTTCCTTGCCTTAAAGGGCACCTTTCAAACTTTTCATTCCAGGTCTGTTTTTATTTTTTCGGTAATTGGGAGCTCAACGGTGATTTTTTGAAAAGTGGTCAATTTAAAATTTTGACCGGCTGTAACTTTTGAACGAGTGAACCGATTTTAATTTTATTTGCGTCATTTTTCTTGTCTTTTTAAGTTCTTTTTAACCATGTCTAAAAAAATGGGGGTTGCTATTTGAATTTTGAAAGTTGCCCCCCCTTGGGGCCCCCCAGGGGGGTCCACCAAGAAAAACCCCCCATCGAAAAATTTCCCCCTCTGGATGATGAAGAATGCAACAAACCGCGACCTTCTATCTTTTTTTGTTCAAAAATTATACCCACTTTTCAGTTACTTTACGGACACCCGGTATGGGGTGTGCTCGTCGAAGCTGGATAAGAAGCAATGTAAAAGTGGGCGTGATTCCTTTTGAAGAATTGGAAAAGCGGGCTATTACATTCTATCAAACAGACCTATGTGCCAACTGAATGCGAGATTCATGAGCCGCGAGGATGGCATGAGAGCGTTGTGGACAGGGCTCATGAGTTAAAGCGCCCCGACGACGATCTCGCCCTCGCGCCCACCCTCGTTCGTTGCCGTTGACGTCACTGGCGCTTTATTATTCTCATTCACTCTTACGGCCAGAGAACTAACGAGCACACCCTATATTTCTCTTTTCCACATAGGTCTGTTTGATAGAGATACGTCCATTTGAAACTATGGTAAAGATCGATTTTTAAAGTGTTCGTTGTCAACGCCCTCTTTATCGATCCTTTTCCATTGGTTTTGATGACACATCGATCGATATATCGCAAATCACGCAACGCCACTGAATTACTATGTCTATAACTACAATCCATCGTTTGTCTGACGTTAGAGCTCATCCTCATTGCATATGAGTACTGAAAATCATGCCATTTTATAGATATTAGGACTCAACTCAAAAAGCAGTTCGCTACATCAGGAAAACAACAAATTCCGCGAAAACAGCTTGTGATAGAGTGCTTTCTCCGCTAAACGGCTTACCTCATGAATTATGCAATAACGCTTTACTCCACTTCTGTTTTATGAAATGTGCAGTATCCATTCTTTTCCGGCTAAATTCAAAGTATGGCCGTATTTCGGGAATTTATCTCTGATTATTTCCGTGGAATTCAAATGAGCTCGTTTGGCAAAACCCTGAGAAACTTTTTATTTGGAGTGTGAGTTTTTTCCTTTCGAAGAATCTCTGATGGTGTTTTGAAGTAATCCGTTTTTCAGAATGTTTGTGCAGTCACTTCGCAACCGTGTTTATCGTGACTTTCTGACGCATTTTTTTATATCAAACATCACTTATAGACGATAAAGATTTATTGGCAAGACGACCGCATCCTTTGCATTGTTACGTTCTAATCGATCCTAGTGGAAGAAAATTGATGTTTCAAAAATCAATGACTTCAGTGTTTTTTGAAGGAAGTAGAACGTGTAAATAGAAACGCCAAATCCTTGAAAAGTCAGTCGTGGACATCTTTTTCCCGTAAAAAAGGCCGAAATCGAAAATGATATATGGTTTAGATTTCCCATGTTGTATTTAACAGGACTAGCACTAAGGGGAAAATGATGGTCTAACAATAGGGTCTCTCGTCGGTTGCTATTAGTTTTCTCTCATCTCTTGAAGACAATTTTTAAATACATTAACTGCATCTCATGATATGACTTTAAGACTTATAGAAAAGTACAATAGCTTTTCTTTTATTCTTTTGTTGCCTTCAATTATGTCTGCAGCAGTTGTTGTTACGGATATGTTGTGCACGCTGATTTTAGCCCATTACATACTCGACTCTCTGAAGGCGTTTTATGTGCGTAAGTAGCGCACTCTTTTGGAAATTTAACAAAGTAGGGATCGAACGAGCCATTCAATCTCTACTTTTGTCGTTCTCCGACAGAGTGCGCTACTTACGCACATAAAACGCCTTCAGAAATTCAAGTATGTAATGATCTGAAATGAGCACGCACAACATATTCATAAGAACAATTGCTGCAGACGCAGTTGAAGGCGCATTTTAAAAAAACCATATAGTTCACGTTGAAATCCTATTCAACTAATTTCCTATTGGTGGGTGCAGGGGGTTGCAATGGACAAAAGGGGTAAGTAATAGACTAACTAACAGCAGCCCACGAGAGACCCTACAGTTAGCCCATAGTTTTCCCCTGAGTATATAACAATAACTCGTTTCAACCAATGAGATCGCTTCATTTTCCCATTATCCTCTTTGCCAATTGCTGCGTGTATCAATTTCAACGATTAGCTCGCTGTTGGATTGATCCGTGGGACTGATCTATCGGATTGGTCTATTGGACTGATCTGTCGGGAAGTTTTCTGGGATAAATCATGAGTCCCGCATACACGGAGAAAAAAAACTCGTGCGTGGGACCCGAAGTTTAGGTCATATGGATCTCTGAAGTTTTCAGATTGAGCATCTGAACACTTTAGGTCTAGCTGCCGAAGTTCGGATCACACATCTGAAACTTCAGCTCTTGCATCTGAAGTACTTCGGTTCTCACGTCCGAAGTACTTCGGTTCTCACATCCGAAGTACTTCGGTTCTCACATCTGAAGTACTTCAGATGTGAAAACTGAAGTTTCAGATGTATGATCCGAACTTCGGTAGCTAGACCTAAAGTGTTCAGATGCTGAATCTGAAAACTTCAGAGATCCATATGACCTGAACTTCGGGTCCCACGCACGAGTTTTTTTTCTCCGTGTACAGTTGGCACACAGTTCCTTTTTCTGAATTGAAAAAGCGGGATTTTACATTCTGCCAAACGGAACTGTGTGCCAACTATATGCGAGCTCATGAGCCGTGAGCATGTTTCTAGATCGTTACGGACAGGGCTCATGGGTTAATGCTGAATTTCGCTGTCCTTCAGCTTGGTGGTCGCAGCTGACGTCATTGGCGTTTTATAATTCCCATTCAATCTTACGGCCCTCGACTAACGAGTACACTCGCTCGTTCCCCCTGCACATAGTTCTAATTGGTAGGAAAACGTCCATTTTGTGTTTTATCTCCCGCATTAATCAAACTGTCTCTGAACTGTTGTCTGTCAACTGTCAACTGTCTCAAACTGTGGAAAAAAACACATTGGATCTAGAGTCCAGACTCTTGAAAACATTGACAAGAAGAAATACTCTTGATTCAATCGGATTTTTTCTTGAATCAAAACAAAATCCGCTTAAATTAAGAGGCTTGGTTCTTGATTTACGCTTAAATCTGATTGAATCAAGAGTCCTTTTCCTTGTCAATGTTTTCAAGAGTCTGGGCTCTAGATCCAATGTGGTTTTTTTTTCCAATGTGTGTGGACTGAACCGTCGGACTGCTTTGATGAGATGATGTGTTGGACTGATTTGTTGAAACTGGCGTGTTGGACTAATGTGTTTGACTGATGTGTTGGCAGGTGAGTGGTCTGCGGTTCGAGACGCAGCTGCGGACGCTGAACCAGTTCCCGGAGACGCTTCTGGGGGACCCGGCGCGGCGGATCCGCTACTTCGATCCGCTGCGCAACGAGTATTTTTTCGACCGGAACCGCCCGAGCTTCGACGCCATCTTGTATTACTACCAGAGCGGCGGCCGGCTTCGGCGCCCAGTCAACGTTCCCCTCGATGTGTTCTCAGAGGAAATCAAATTCTACGAACTGGGTGAACTCGCTACCAACAAGTTTAGGTGAGTACCCCCGACACTTCTATCTTCCTTCCTTCCTCCCACACTCAAGGAGTTTCGGGACCGTCATGTTAAAAGGATCAAATGTTTTAAAAAACGACTTTTCGGAAAGTACCAGACTAGGTCAAAGGTTAAAATATAAAATTTTAATGTTGAAAGGGTGGTGGAAGAGAGGCTGCCAAAAGAGATGCTTGATTGGGTTCCTCCTCGGAGGAGACGAAGGGGACGCCCAGTGCACGGAGAAAAAAAATTTCGTGCGCAAGACCCGAAGTTTAGGTCATATGGATCTCTGAAGTTTTCGGATTGAGAATCTGAACACTTTAGGTCCAGCTGCTGAGGTTTGGATCACACATCTGAAACTTCAGTTCTTACATCTGAAGTACTTCGGTTCTCACATCTGAAGTACTTCAGATGTAAGAACTGAAGTTTCAGATGTGTGATCCGAACCTCGGCAGCTGGACCTAAAGTGGTCAGTTGCTCAATCCCAAAACTGCAGAGATCCATATGACCTAAACTTCGGGTCTTGCGCACGAGGTTTTTTTCTCCGTGTGGAAGGGTCCCGATAGGGTTTTTTAAAAGAGATGAGGGAGTGCCAACTCCGTGATGAGTTTAGGGAGGACCGAGTTTTGTGCCGTTTAGGCGTCGCAGCGTGCCAGAGAGCGCTGTGAGAGCGACTCTTATGTGTAGAAGTTACGGGTCATGTAGACAAACCGTATACATATGATCCGGACTCAGAGACCGAAAGTTCCATGTGCTAGGAACGTACTAGCATAATAGGGAAGAACGCCGTATGATCCTTCATACGTTGCCGAATTTCCTTTTATAGATCATGAAATTTGATGGAAATTCATAAATATTTTCTTCCGATTTTCCAGAGAATTTTTCTTGTAGTTAGCTCTAAAAAGTGTGAAAATTTCAAGGAAAAATATCCATACAATTCTTCAAAAATACTTTTTTTCTGAGAGGAAACTGGACAGCATTCGAATGCTCATGCGGTGTTTTTTCATAACATGAGAGCGAAGCTGTAACTGCTCCAAGCTCCGGGTTCGGTGGCGGATGACCGGAATAACGGGTGCACCCGGAAATTCCGGCATCCGAACCCTGAACAGCAGTATATCTTCGTAGCTCATTAAGTGTGCCAGCATTTTCATGCAGCGCTGTTCGTTCCAAAATTCAAGTTTTTAACATATTCTAAGTCTTCCCCTCACGGAAAAATTAAATTGCTGGTTTAACAATTTAATAGCTAAAAAAATGACTCCAATGGTTCAATGTTGATTTTACAAAAAAAATGCTACTTTAACCACCCCCGTGGTTAAATTAGCTTACAATAGTGGTTAGTGTAGCATTTTTTTGTTGTAAAATCTACGTTGAAATACCACAGTCACTTTTTTTAGCAACTGAATTGTTAAATCAATTTAATTTTTTCCGTGCTCCTCCCTATCAAACATGAACCATTACCATGAACATTGCTGTCGAGAATCCATTTCTCAAGAAATTATTTGCATTGAACGAATAGCGATGTCAAAATGACGTCCGTTTGACAAGTATCGAGTCCTCTTTTCCGGTTTATTTATTTTAGTTATCCACGAACACCAGTTTTCAAGAGTGTTTACATAGCTTTGACGCAATACCTAACAGTGGCTCTCAGGTCGAGATTTCTCACACAGATGTGAAGAAGCCGTGGTAGGCCTACCTCAACACTTCAACTTGAAACAATATAGGCATTTCTTAGAACATGATAACAGCATTACAAGGGAAAAATTGATACTCACGTTCTATAATATCCTCGAGAGCTTTTATGCTTTCATATTTAGGGTTGGCTCTTTAGCTGATTAAATTGTAGGGCCTTTCTAGCTAGGGTTTGCGTTGAAATTTGATAAAATGCCTAATTTTGACTAATTACGGGCGACAGATCTACCAGTTCTGTAGGATAATATTCTCTAAGGAGTATCCTTTAAAAATAATAATGTGACGAAATAAACATCAAAATATGCGTTTTTAATACCTCATGTTTCTGAGACTTGTCCCAATGTGCAACGCCGCGCCGCGTTGCTGGTTTACTACCGACAATCGTGCTAAGGAAGGACGTTGTATGAACATTTAAGAGTTGCTAAATTTTTCCGAATAAAACGAGTATTTTTGAGGAAAGGTATGGAAATTTTCCCTTGAAATTTTCAGATACTTCAGAAAATTTATTGGAAAATTGTATTTTTCTTCAAAATTGCCTGACAATTTTGAAGAAAAATACAATTTTCCCAATAAATTTGTTTTTTATTGAGGGAAATAAGGCAAAGTCCTAAGGATAATACGGCGTTCTTCCTTAGCATGGCAGTATAGGTGGCTGAGCAACCCTTAGATGTCCACTTATTCCCGATATCCGAGGGTTCTCCTTCAACCCCTATCTGATACCTGATTTTAATGAGACACCGCGACCATGCGGCACAAGTATGCAGCTCCTGCAAACAAATCGGATGCAACCAGAGATACCTCGATACGTGGAGGCCCTTATCTATCATCTGAGATATTAATTATTCTGGGTCTTATCCTCGTATTCGCGCCTATCGGACCTCGAGCGAGAAGGACCCTTCAGGAGTGTAGATCTCAGCACTGTCGTGCTCAGGAAGAACGCCATATCGACGGTGAAACTACCAAACCACGTATCTCGGTTTGCGACGTCGCAGACTTCCTGTCATACTTTATTTTTTAAATGAAAAACTACTTAACATCCAGTCTTGAAAATTTCTGTGATTTTTCCTCTTTGTGCGGAGAAAATTTCGTGAAAATTTCAAGGAATGATATTGATTTGGTGTACTTCAAAAAAATAAAATGTGAGCGTAGATTTTTAAACACCGCAAACGAGATACGTTGTTTGGTAGTTTCACCGTCGATATGAGCCTCCAGATGTGCCAATTTTCCTATTTTTGAGGAAAGTCATGATTATTCTTCCTTTACATTTTCAGAATCTTTCGGTGAAGTTGCGAGCAAAAGTATCTGAACAATTATTCATAAGTTTATCAGGAAATTTGCGATTTATCAAAGGGAATTTGGCAACGCATAATCATAATCTATACGACAATAAATCAGAGAGTGGCAATCCTTTCCGTGTATAATCCGCCGTCTCGCAGTGGGAAGAACGTAATTACATTTGGATTGCATTTTGCAATTTGGAACTATAAATTCTGGCCCGGTTTAAAACCAATGTATTTGCCATTCGATTTCCCATGTACATACGTGTTTTTTCAGATGAGCTAGAATTTATAGTTCCAAATTGCAAAATGCAGTCCATTTTAAAATTGCAAAATTTTCAGGCGAGAAATTCATTTTTATCAAATTAATTTTTGGCGTTATCTAATTGCAAACTTTCCTAAGTTTTTCTGTGACAGCCGTTAAGATTCAGAAAAATTGTGAACGTAATTTGCACGGCTATTCTCGCGAAAAATCGAATGGTTCATGTCAATTTGCCAACCTTCGCTCGGGAAACGACAACTAAAGCATTCAAGCCTCGCCGAGAATGAATCATTCATAATGGTTCGTAATATAGGGAGACAGCGTCACCAGCTTGCCAAAATCATTACCGACATGAAAATTACTTTCCCGAAACTTCCCTTTTCGTTTAAATCCATCGTGGATGTGTTTAAGAGAGGAACGCACAGTTTGGCAACCACACTAGCGCACTCTACAGAGAGGCGAGGGAACGAGGGGGTGGGGTGTGCAAATCTGAGCGAGAAAGTAAAGACAAAATGATTGGATTCGCGCCAGCCGTGGGATCGTGAAAATAAATGCACAACGTTCACCGAGAAGTGTCCAACTTCAGCGTAGGATGAGCCACTGTAACGACTCAGTCTTATGGAATCCAAGGCTCACGTTGGAAACGAGTTGGATTCCTTTCTCTCTCTACTCCATCCAAATTAGAGATAGCGCACATACGCTTGCCACGGCGCACAGTAGATCGAGTCAACGCGAGAGGTTGAACATGAAATTTCAGGCTAAAAACCGAAAATTTTGATGTTAATCAAGTCACATTTTAAATTGTGAGATGTGCTTCGTGAAGACATTTTCACGAGGAAACAGATGGGACCACTTTTAAAACTTCAAACTTCGGTAAAAACGGAGGTACAAGCTTTTCACGTTTCTGCATTTTATCCGACATTTTCAATGGACCACTAGACAAGGTGCAAATTTCAGCATTTTGATACATGTTTCGTAACCAAAATTTAACGTAGAACATGATGTGCACAACAAAAATTGCAGAAATCAACTCCTTAACAAGATATTTAATGATTCTTGATGCGTGAATTCAAACCACCCGCTCATGAAAACTCAATGCTCTACGTGATTCACATAGCGCGCTAAACGTTATCATGACAGTCTCTGCGATATAAAAATCTGGTAACCTCAATCTTGACACTTTAGCTCAGCTATAGCAAATTGCTAATAGTCTGAACAACATATGGGGGCAATAGACATTGCTCGATTGAGAAGCTTGCTGAAACCGTTGTAGTGCGAGATTTGACTCACGTAGAGCTTTGAGTTTCTTGTGAGCGGGCAGTTCAAATTCCTCGTAACCAATGTGAAATAAAAATGTTAATATCTTCGTTATGAGTTGATTTTAGTAATTTTCGTTGCACGAATCGTGTTCTACGTGAAATTTTAGTTATAAAACATGTATTAGAATACTTAAATTCGTACCTTGTCTAGTGGTCCCTTGATCATTTTCTGTGGGTTTCATTGGCAGATAGATCGATTAAGCACTAAGCATGACACAATTTGGCAACGCGTGAACCATTGGCTATCGATATTTTTCCATTTGAAGCTATGGTAAAGAATCGATTATTAAGATGTACCTTAATAATCGATCCTTTTTCACTGGTTCAAATGGGAGATTATCTATTCAACGCTAAACTCGATAAGCCGAACAGTGGATCGTATTAATTATTGAGGTCGGACATAAATATTTTTGACTAAAACTACAACTTTTCATGTTTATTTCGTCACATTTTAAG